CGCGTACCCCCAGATATAATTTCTCTTCAACTTTGTACCCCCAAAGTTGTTGGTGTATAATTCAAGTTATACATAGTATATAATCTACATCTAAAATAAATTAAATAAATTACATTACTGATTATTCAGTGTTTATCATAAAATAATATATTTTTTTAAATTTCACGTACCCCCTAAGATGTCTTAGCGTACCCCAGGTTGAATACCATTGATTTAGAGAGACAAGAAATCCCTTAATTTCATGGAACCCAATGTTCGATACTGTCACCACAAGACTTCACCACTGGACCCTATCCTGATCCGTCTATACCCAATTCAAATCCTCACACTGTATTTCTTTGAGATCCACTTTAATATCATCCTCCCATCTGTGTATAGGACTCAAAGATGGTGTCTTTCCAGAACATTGTGGCTGTGACATTCCGTCACAGCAGAGGTTGCCCGTACTGTCGGGAGATCGAAGAATATTCATGTGAAAAAATGTACATCTCTCAAAAAATGCATTTTCTGGTTGTCGCAGAAGACGTGACAGGATGGCACCGACTCCACCGCTTCCTGTGACAGAGGACACACCCCCCGACATGCTGGCTGGCTCCATGGACCTGCGAGTGGTGCTACCTAATGGCCATTCTGTGAAGATGAGTGTGGACCGAAGGTGAGAGAGGACCAGACGCAATTCTGATGATTTTTTTATCAGACATGTTGGGATATTACTTAAAGCTGGACCACATCTGCTTTGTTTTCAATACTTTGTAACTTCCTATTCGTTATCATAACAGAATCGTTGCCTGTACCGGGACTCACGCCCCCGATTTCTGACATAATTCAGTTTGCGGCAGACTTTGACCGTGGAAAATGCAGAAGAATTGAAGAAAACTCCTTAGAAAGCACCATCTTTGAAGACGAAGTGGATCTCTGCTGCTAGTTCTAGAACTTGTTCAATGTTTACAGCACGCCTATGATGGACCTCCTGGTTCAAGTGACAACTATGAACAAGATCTCAACAGGTGGTCACATTCTTCAGGCAATAGGCGAACGGGGCATCCTTCCCTACAAGCCCAGCACGCCCATCGGAGCCCTCGATACGTGGACCATACAAGTCGTACCCAAGTCGAAGGTTCAGACGACCACAGTCCAAAAGAAAGCGCCATTAAAACCGCTGAGTCAGCAACAGCCATTTGAACAGACATTCAGACTACAGGTAGGATTGCAGGAACCTACTGCATCCATATTTGGAGTAGAAGTCCCCGAATTCCCTAAAGCTATTGATTGTAGTTTCCCCTGAAATGTTGGCAACCGCGGTATCCTCACATATTAGGATAAACCACTGACAGCTGTCTTCATGAATGTGTTGAAGCGCGTGAAGAACGTCTGTCGCGAAGGTTTCCGAACGTTACCAGAACAGTCATTTTTGTAATTGTGCGTGAAACTACTGTCGTCGTTCTTTCGTGTCATCTCTGAACTTGATCGGTGTTGGGGGTCACCGGTAGATCGTATTTTAATTTCATCCAGAAAATGACTCTCGAGGCTCGTAATCACCCAACCCGGTGCGAGAACGAGAAATTTGAGTCCTGAACCTTCGTACGGCACAGATTCGAACATCTGATCTCCTGATTTGTAACTGGTAAGTCGGTACTTTCTACCAACATACGTTTCTTGCAGTTGCCGATAGTAAACATCTCTTTCACAAATTCTCTTTGCCTCGGATGGCGCGCCTTCACATTTTCCTGGTTTGTCGGGACGGCCTTTCACATACTTAAAAACTAACGTACTTTGAACAGGACGTCGTAACGCACGATAAACGAGACAAGAGAATTCATAGATGGAATCTCCTTCACAAGTAAGCCAGATTCATAACATGTCAAAATATGCAGTGTTTTCTCTTCCACTTTTGTTAGTGACGACCTGACCTCTCCTGCGAGGAATCTTACCGTCTTTTCATTTCCTGTTCTACGTTGCCACCTGTTAATTGAGGAATCTACCGAGTCCAAATAATGGCGCCCACATATTTATTTGCGGAACCTACTTTGCTGCCACCAAATTTCCCTCACATATTTGCCCTGTCTCTTTTGGTTCTTTATTGACTAAATCTTTCTTCTGGTATTATCTGTGCGGCAGGAAAGAAGCCTTCATGAGTGAGTTCCGCCCTGAAACCTTCTTTTCTTAGTACGCACTCTAAATAAAGTGAGTACTTAAATGTTATACACGACTAGAATTTATATGTTTCAGATCACATAAAATATTATTTAATCCTTTGACGAGCCCAAATATACTAGTAGACTCCGCAAAATTTCACCTGATGATAGATCTTTCAGGCAGCAGTTGTACTTACTTCCGTGTCGCAGGTGCATTTGCCGCGGAACCAACTGTACGTGATGCGGGTCAGTCCGAGGACCCTCCTGTCCGACATCCTTCGCCAGACGTGCAAAGAGAAGAACCTTGACCCCAACAAATATGAGCTGAGGCACCCAGGTAATTGCATGCACTGAAAACAAAATTAATTATTAATTAATTAATATTATTGGATTTCTGGACTGTGTTTATTTTCAGAAATTCTTAGAACATTAATTCTGAAAACTGGATCAGTTTCTGTGCATTTTCCAAAATGTTTTCTGTTCAAATTCAAAGTTACGAAAACTGGAGGTGGAAACTGGTTTAGAATATTTATCAATGCTGGTATCATATTATTATCTTTGCATCTTATCACCAGAGAGTTACTTGTAGACACTGACGTAATATAACACAGGAGCAATAATCAGTCACGCTGTGCTCTGCGTCTTACTGGATGTTGTCGCTCCACAGCCAACATTTCTCAATTGCTGATTCCATCGTGCACCCTGGCCGACTACGGTCTGCAGGAGGTCACAGTAGCGGCACGAAGTCATGCGCCACGAGTGGGATCAGCGCTGTTATCATCTGACATCATGGCGCTGCAGCAAGAGGAAGACATTCGGTGCCAGCAGGTACGCCAGTCTTCATATTCCAGAGATCTTGGGTTCAAATCTTGGCGCAGACTGTCATGACAGGATTCTCAATTCTTTCCTTCACTCGGCACGGAGCGAGATGGCTCAGGTGGTAAAAATTTTGACTTTTGATCAGATTGTAACAGATTCACATTTTCAGTGGGGCATCATCATCAACTGTCATGAGTCCTTATGTGCAAATACCTTAAAATAGGCCACGACAAAGTTCACTGTAAAGTTATTATCCAGTCATCACAACAAAACAACTTCTGCGGCTGACACAGTGCGTCCGCATGAATAAATGGTTACTTTGGGTTTTCGTGAACAGACAAATAATCACGCCCTCTTATTAAATCAGCCAACTGAGATGTAAGAACTGCTCTAACTGACCTGTCCGCATGTACAGAGCAAGTGCGAGGGCAGCATAAGCAGCGACAGCCTGGGGGGTCGCAGCATCTCGCCGGCCAGGTCCGACGAGTCGGCCAGCCGTTCGGCCTCACCGCCCGCACCAAACCTTCCGCCCATGATGGCACCGATCCCACCCGCAAGGCCGGCCAGGAAGAGACGCCCCGCGCCAAAACCGCCCGGTTCTAATATTGGACCAGTTAGCAACAAGCAGCAGACAGTTAGTATCATCATATGACCTGTAACAGAGTACAAAAGAGCGTGGTTTATAAATCCCTTTTGAAGTTTACCACAGGAAATTAATAATATCTTTTCTTTTTTGTGCACCTGTCTGTCATAACACTTTCCGCGCTACAAATAAGACGGTCACGTTGTTTATTTGGTTGTCAAGTTAATATTTACAAATTCTAATTGAATAATTTTTTTATTATTTAGTGATTATTTAACAAGGTCACTTTTAAGTTAGTTTTATAAAAAATATAACATAAGCAAAAAGGGTACTTTAATAAATGTTCGGCCGCGTTCGTAAGCGGTGATATCCGCTTGTCAAGGGACACCTATGAGTCTGAAACTTCTTGCAACAGGAATTAAACACGCAAGCAGAGTCCAGCACTGGAACTGTTGTGAACGGGCATTCCGGGAGCGATAACGGCAAGACGGCGCACGTCGCTGTGTCACATTCCCGTAACAGTTCGGACAGCAGTGGGTACCATGAAGCATCAGTTCTCAGTGAGGGTCCGGCTGAAGGCCACCCGATATCAGAGAAGTATGTAAGCTTTTATATCAACTATTTTCTCATACGAAGATGACTGACCTGATTCTCATGATGTTTGCTCTTTAAGATGGCAGAGCTCGTGTGTTTGTCTTAAAAAATTTGAAACAGAGTGCAATCTGGTTGAGGGTTTTTCACTTTTGAAGAACATTTTACTTATTTTCGTCTTAAAAAATTTGAAACAGAGTGCGGTCTGGTTGAGGGTTTTCCACTTTTGAAGAACATTTTACTTATTTTATAAGGAAAGAAAGGATTTATGATATATTTTTATGTGTTTGTATCTGTTCCGTCCCCCGTTTGACCTCTTCCCGTGAAGATTTCAAACCACAAAATTTGTTACGCAAATCTTGTTTCCCCGCATGTGCTAAATATCCTATCAGACTTAATCACGTTTGCGACAAATGATCGTGTTGACACATTATAACTAAAATTCACTTTATCAATAAGACGAGAGGTTGACACTGACAGCTGCGTATTCACTGCTTGAAGTCGCTTAAAGTGACAGGTTAATTAGTTTTACTTGCATTTTCATAGCGAAACACGTGTCCCGTATCAAAATAAATGCTGTTGCATGACATGACAGTGATAATGATAACCCTTAATTTCAGTGGCATTGCGGACTCGGTCTCGCATCATGAAAAACTTACATCGACCCAGCCAGCACAGATGAAGGCTCAGGTTGGCAACTATGGTCTGTCACGATCCATGTCGAATTTGACTGGAGTGGGCAGCATGGGAGACTGCCAGCGCAGTACGTCGAACACGTCCCTTGCATCCTCCACAGGTTGGTAGCGGTGACCTGTTTCTGATTAATGTTTCTTCATCTCATTACCCCGATGGTAGAGGCAGCAAGGACCTCTGAAACATTGGTAAACGTCTACCATACTATACGTTGATACAACTCAGAAGACGGCCGTCTTCTTGCATCTGTTTCCCCCGCTTGTTTTTGTAAGAATATAAACAAAACTTTTAATAATATTCTGCTATTTATTAGGGTTGGTAATACCTGTATTATTCCGTGTTCTGAGAGAGGTGGTGTTCTATTCCATTAATTATTTGTCTCAAATTATTATGTTCTTGCATTGAAAATGAAGTTCCAGTACACTTTTTGATAAAGGTTGATAAAAAAATTTAAAAGCTGATCTCTTCCTTCGTAACCTCTAAATACTGCATTGATTTTGGGAGCATTCTGTTGTTCCACGCACATCTTCTTACTTTATAGTAATGTGTTCGTTACTGCAGGACAAGGACAAAAGAAAAAGAAAGCGCCACCCCCTCCACCAGGAACGGGCGGAACCAAAGATCGCCAGCAGCAGAAGCACCCATCATCACTGTCGCTATCATCCAACGATCAGGACGTCGCAGACCCCCACAACAAGACAACATCACTAGAGAGACATCTGTCTGGCAAGAGCTCTGTAGTTGGCAGTGCTCAGTCATCGGACAAATGTTCATCTCTGCCTGGCAAGATGAAGATGTCACAGCACGACTACAGGCCAGCGGAACCTCCGACCCAAAAGTCTGAAAACGCTGCGGAGACAGAAGCGATGTCACCTGAAGAAAGGCGGCTCGACAGCGACCAGATTCCCGAAGTTGAGGAGGACACCGCTATAACGCGCCAGGATGAACGCAACACTGCGGCTAGAAGTCAGATCTCTGGAGACTCCTCCGATATACAAGATGAAAGCTTTCAGACACTTCCACTGCCTCCTGTAGAAAGTGCACCACCGCCCCATGTAGAGCTTGCGTCGAGGAGTAAAAGCCATCAAGTTGTTGATCCAAGCACCCCAGAAGGTAAGCTAAAGGCTAGTAACGTAGAATTGAGCAACGATGTCTCATCTTTGGAAGGTAGGAGGAACCTAGAGGGGGCACCATCCTCTCCTTGTAGATACAAAGAGAAATGTTCTGGTTCATTCTGTAGTGAAAGTCCTGCATTCACTTCCAGATATAGTTTACGTCCAAGCGGACGAAACCCCGCCCGTAGAAGATCTAGCGAAACTCATTCTTCAAAGCTACAAACCATTCATCAGAATTCCAACATGAAGATTTTGTCTGATGTTTACAATCATCAAATTAAAATTGGCCATGGTATGGCATGTAGCAAACTTCCTGATCATAATTCAGAACAGGAATTACGCAACTTGATTCCTCGCGACGAGCTAATTCAGCCATCTTGCAATCAAATTAGTTACCGCTCATCTTTGAATTCGGACCAGAAACTTGTTAACTCCGATTCACATAAATTAAAACCACTCGTCGGAAGCAGTTCAGTCGTGACTGCTCAACGTAATTCTGACTTTGTGGCCGCGTCCCCTGAAAAATACACGTGTGGTTTTGAAGCTGATGTTTGTAATCATTCGGCTTCTGAAAATGTAATATGTCCTCCTAAATTAGACAAGGTCACGTCAGGTCTTACGTCAGAACAGATAAAATGCTCTTCAGCGATATCACAAGAGCGCTTTATTCCTAACGGAATCTCGACTGATATTAAAGACACTTCTGATAAACATTCCACATCTCAAAATGTTTGCAACACCCCGTACAATTCGCCAACTGCGTCGAAGCAAAAGTATGATGGGCGTCGCGTAGAGCGGCAGATGAGTCCTAACAGGGTTAGCTTGCTTGTTCCACCACCAGAAGATTTTCCGGTTAGCCGTGGGGAGTCTATTCAGTCCTGGAACAAATTCCTACAGGATCTTGATAGAATCCTAGAGAACAGGGCAGAATTTGTGTGAAGGAATCCCTTACACAAATTAGTAATTAAAGTAGAATTACTTCTGCTATATTAGTTTCTAGGTAACACGCAGTTCTTAGATTGGCTAAAGTATGCGCTCGACAACTATTAATTACAAATCGTGAAACTTATCACGTGCTTCTACATTAAGCCTTCAGACGCCAGTGGTAATTATATGTACCCCCTGCTTTAACAATTAGAAACCCTGCATTTGTCCCCACAGAATACATTTCCTATGCGACTTATTAAGCAATTAGTATATGATGCCCCTTTAACAGCCGAAACATTTGAAACAGAAATGGAAAAGTAATTTCTGATTGTGCAGTGTGGCGCGTATAGTGTTATTAGCAATTGGGATTTTTTTAAAAAAATAAATGAACAAAGTGCGGTGAGATGTATTAAACAGCAAAGAATGTGTTTGGAAAACATGCGTTCCGAACCGGAGCACCCCTTTCCATTTTTAATCCTGTTTGAGAAACACAAAATTCTACGCACTTTTTTCTGAAGTTATAAAATACATTTGAACCATCAGGAGGAAAAAGATCTTAGTACGACCTCCTCTAAGGTCCACCTAGCCTTCTATTCAGTGGGTCCCTAGGTCTGTTCTGCTCCGGGTAAGGTGGACAAAGCACAGAGCTCACTACTCCATCAGGTACTGAAATTATAAGTGCGTAGATCCTTGTCTGTACCCCCCTCGATATGCCTTCGTGGTGTGGAACACGGAAAACATCACAAACCTCATAAGAATAAAGCTGGAATCAGCTGATCAGACTTTATCTCCGAGGTCAGCAGTTTCATGGTATGCCACTTTGACGCATGGGACCAGCTAGACTATACGCGAACTGTGTTGCATGACAAAGGTTAAGGGCTGAAAGTACCAGGCCCTTCGTCAACAATTATTTATATGCAAAGCTTCCAACATGCAAGCGCATCTTTTGTAAACTCTTAGTATGTACATATTTTATTTTGTAGTTTTGTGTAGTTGTACTAGCAGGTGTGTTATTCCGCGTCTCCATCAGACTCGGACGCTATCGGTACACGCGGCGGCCGTGGCGTCTGACGTCCGTATTATCCAAGCAAGCCGTAAATGCCGGCCACTTCTTACCTCCTGCATGTAATTTTTTTCTTTTTCTTTTGCATGTGTTTCTAACCCACTCCAAACAACAGCTTCCGCTACTTTGAAGCAACCACTCACACTACACACCCCCGTCCCAAAGCCTCGTGTGTGCATCGAGCGTAGTCTTGGGGATGACACTACTCCCTCAGTTAGAAAGAGACCAATTCCGCCACCACGACAGATGTCTGACAGCAGCAACGTACAGGGAGAAAGACATAAACAAACTGCAAAGGAAGAGAAGAGTGACGGAGGGCAGAAGATGAAAGTGAAGAACGGCAGCACGGGTCGAACGTTCGGTGTGGGGACGACGATGCTGATGATGTCTCAATCTGGGACTGACTCCATCAGCAGTGGAAGTTGGGAGTGGCAATCACTAAGATCACAAAGCCCTGCAGATAATGGTCCAGATTCAGATGATGATCTGAGCATTGCTGATAAGGACATGGAGATTTTTGACATGATGACAGAAACATCTGAAGCTTCAGGCACGGTTCAGGCCAGAAATAAGACGAGAGGCAACACCTCCACTGTGAACCATCAAGTGATGGACTCATATGATGACAGCGAGTCACTTTCTCTCGCCAGTTCTGTGTTTGATTATGACTCGGAGCACGAAAGTTCTGAAGCGTCGTCTACGTTAAAATGCCCACCGCTTGAGAGACTGCTGAGAACCAAAGGGGAGAAGAGTTTTCATGCTTCTAAAGAGGTAAATCTCCACGACACTGATAGGAATGGACAACAAGGGAAGAACGTCGGTCCAAAAATTAGTGGAGGCAGCAGTGCCAGTGTCTGGAGCGTGGACGAGGTGCCGAGTAGGAACAACAGCATGGGACGATGGACCAATAGGAAGGCTCCAGCATCCAAGCAATCATTGGTGTTGGGATACAATTCAGGTGCATGCTTACTAACCGTCTCAAGTCTTGCCAAAACTCGGTGCAATTCGGGTTATGTCCTCGAACCGACTTTTCAGAAGTATGGTTACAGCTTTTCTAAAACTCTCGCCATTTTAAGAACGTGTTGGTACTATATGTAAGGCCACTGTTGTAATGGCAGCTAATATGGTTTAACATGTTGAATATGGAGTGCTTAAAACAGTAAGCCACAGGGTGTCTCAAAAATGTTTACAGGAACCTTAAATTGTAAATTTTAGTTTGGAGAGCAAAATGAAATTGTTCACATGAAGAATTTTGATGATGCGTCACATGATTGGACCCTTAAATTTGTACTTCGTGTAACACTGTATGGCGTAGTTAGTATTTAACTGTTATGTAGTGTTGATTGCTCTCTGAAGTGGTACTGAGTTTTGGCATGCTACTAATATATTTAATTTCATTATGCTGAATAATATTTTGGCTGCTTTATATCTAATTTTTATGAAACTCCGTTAAGTCATTAAAACTTCCTGATCTGTCTTTATAAATGAAAATTATATGTACATGTATTACATTGTGCAAAAGCAAGGGTCGTTCTGCTTAGCACCTGAATAGAGTTTATATGATTTCCATTCAGTTCACAATAGAGGCTAGTAAAAGATTCTTCTCGTCTCAGTTTTGGCAAGAACCTGATTTCTTCGATATGTCACAGTCAGTTGTAGAATAGTCTTAACATGAATAACTTTGAGCATAGCAGCGACTTATTTCTAGTTAGTAGTTAAAATACGAAAATTAATCCAATCAACCCTGGCATTGTAAGCATTTTAATCATGGTTCATGCTGCAGGGTGGCCGCGTGGTCGCTGAGTCCATGGGTTCGAATCCCACTCAAGCTATGGATGTTTGTCCGCGTTTTTCTGTGTCGTGCTGTCCTGTGTACAGGTAGAGGCCTTGCGACGGGCCGATCCCTCGTCCAAGGAGTCCTACCAAAATGTCTATAGATCAAGCCAACGAAAAGTTGGGACCCGCAGTGCTCAGGCACTTGAAGAACGAGTCGTCCAAGTATCATGCTGCAGAGTTAAAGTCCACACAGGAATATCCACTGTCCAAACTCTTGACATTTTTTCCTTTGTGATTCTTTTCTCCAAGAAGAAACTATTATGTCGTGCCATCCACAAAACTGTCGTTTCACACCAGAGCTGTAGACAGAGAAGAAGCGTGTGCTGTTGCAGGTGTGTGATGGTTTTCATGTTATTACAGGAGTAATTCTGTTGCTTCCTGATTTACAAGTTGTCTCTGTGTGCCGAACAGACGCTGAGACCGGGGATCCTATTGACCAGGTGGTGGAAGCTTTCAGCAGCGTGACAGCGGAATTGGAGGCTGCCATAAAGCGGGATGAAGAGCTGGGTACTCAGCTGCCCCCACCTGCCCCCGCAGAAGATCTGACAGTGGACTGGGAGTATCTACTACCCGCGCCACCATCTGCTTTCAGAGACTCCGATTCTCCCACTTTTTCTGAGGGCAGAACAGTCTTGTTGGCAGATACACAGGTATGACAACGCTTTGGAATATCTTTTGGTATTCGTCTTAATTCACGTCATCCTGAATTATACTGTTTCTGAAAACCTACTCTATCATCAAAACATAACCTAACAAATGGGACCAAGTTCCAATAACGTAAATTAATGAACTGCTGCTTTCCAGGTCAAATTTGGTCCACAGGCAAGTGGATGGCTACTGCATTCGACCCCTACTTAGTATTGTAGAACATGCAATTTTCTAAATATGTTGCAATTTAGCAAGTGTGGAATTGCAGAAATTGAATTAGCGTTCTGTGCAGGTGTTCCAAGAGCCCTCGTCACCAGAACCTGAACCAGACTTTCGTCAGGGGCGTTCTGCCATCACGAAGCATAAAGACTCTCTTGATACACGCTTCAGCAGTCCATTGCATAGGAATGAGGTGACCCGGACGAATCCTTTGTTTGACCCAAACCAGTATGATGATGATGACCCAGGTGACAGCAACATTAATCCTTCTGCAGTATGTGAAGATGGCACAAAGAAGTTGAAGCATGACACAAAACACCTGTACCATACAGAGGCAACGCTTCACAAGCAGGACTCATCGGAGCTATTGCTGATGAAACCAGATTCCTCGAGAGACCAAAGCACAAGGAAGGGTGGGGAACTTTCCAATTTCACCATCACAACATACCAAAGACCTCATGACCCTGACGGATTATTTGGCAGAGACGGTGATAACAACGCGGCAGAACCTGTCCAACATTTGTCCACGGACACACGCAAGAAACCAACAACGGTGTTTCAACACAAGTACAGTTCTACTGATTCGCTAAACAGCAGCGGTGGAGTTGGCAGTGCCACAAGTGTATCGAGAACAAATTCTTTCAACAGTAATGACAGTAGCATGTTTAAGATCCCTGGTCCAGTTTCGACATCATCTGTCAAGCGGTCCACATCTTACATCTCCCTTGTTGCTAAACCTCCCTCTTTTCCTGGAAATGGTTTCCAGTCTGGCCGAACCTACGCTCCGTACTCAAACAGAACCAAATCTGTTGGTAATCTGGCAGTTGAGGCACAGTTGGATGCAGATGATGAGACGGCATACGAAAACTGGGGTCTCGGGAAGATGAGAAAATGTAGTGTTAGTCACGATCCATCAGAAAGTGTCCAAAAAGGAATCGAGTCGCAAACCACAGCAGAGAAGCAGAAGATGGCAAGAGGAACGGAGGTTGGACATGAGGAACAAAGAGGCTCACAGCAGCAGATAATAATAACAGAGGAGGAGCGTGCGCGGCTTTTGGCGTTACAGGAGCAGTTCCTTCAGTTGCAGGAGCAACTCCTTCAGAACTCAGGCCACATGCAACAGATATCACAAACTCACGCCCCTGCTGCAGACACTCCTCTGCAGTCACTACAGGTGAGGAACTCCTCAACTTGTGAACTTATTCTTAGGAACACGCATGGACTCCTTAAGCGTATGCTCCTGACCACCCCAGTTAACGTTCGAAACAACCGACAGATTTTCACAAAACCTAATGAAAATTTCATGCCGAATTATTCCATCCCCACCTTCATAAACTTACTATCAGCAATTGCAGCGAAGTTTAATTTACAGTATTATGTAATAAAGTGTCCGGTATTTCCTTTTAAGGCCATTCATAATTGCCTTATAGAATTCGTGATTCAAAACATGCGACTGCATTATGTCTGTCTCCTGGAAAATGGGGGAAGTACAAAAATAAACAGTCCTTAACAATCTGCTTTGTTACTCAGGTACTTAGAAGCATCCTGCCGCAGCTGAATCAAACAAAAATGTCTGGTTGTCAGGAAACCAGTCAGCAGCAGAACTCTGAAAACTCAGCTTTCCTCAGGTAATGTCAACATTTATGTGGGTCATACCCCACATATAACTTGTGATACGTAGTTTGTGTTTTAGTACATGCCAGAAACAAAGTACACAGCAGTACAAAACTAGAAATGTTCATGAGTGTATAATATCGAATAAATTAGGGTTATGACGCTGGCCATCTACTGGGAGGTCATGTCATCTAGATAATGTTAAAAACATTCATTTCATGCATCTTGTGCAATGAATTGCATGTAAATTGTATGAATTCTACTGGGAAGATATGAAGACACAAATACACATATTTTTGCAGATATCCTTAAAGTTTCAGAATCTACTCTCATGTTTGTAGACACTGCACAGATTACACACCACACACAATACAACGAATGTAGATTTGGTCATTCTCCCATTTCAGCCTCTCCATACTTCACCACAAACAGCTGCTTTAAAACTAATGCATCTTATCTATATCTTTTTCTATGGCCTCCTCAATTCCCCTCTTCCATTTGGTCCTCCATTAGGTCCGTCTGTCCAAGGCTTTGATCGAGGTTTCGAAACATCTTCCTTTTTACGGTGCAAGGTTGTTAGCCTTGCGACCAACCCCCAACCTGAAGGACCAGGGTACCTGTCTTAGTCTGACCTCTCCCCCTCGACCAATCTGGCTAGGGAGGCCCTACCAGTAGCTATGCTACCGCCAGCTTAGCTCTTGGGGTCACTGAGGTACTCAAGCCCCACCACCACGACAAGGTGCAGGTACCATTATCTTATCTATATTATAACTCTTTATTTGTTTCCAGATCTGAAACTCATCCCACGGAACTGGTTCCAAAAGGTGCAGAAGACTTTGTCAATAATCAGTCTGTCAAACTAACGACCTCTTCAACATTAAAACGGCAGAACAGCAATGAAAAGGAATCCAGTGATAACACTGGTGAAATGAAACGGTATACATATCGTGGTCCCCCAGCAATTAGTTTTGCTACATGGAGTGAACGGCCAAAGAGTCAAGTTAGCATTAAGATGGATCGTGACTACAGGATAGGCGTCGGTCAGGGCGGCCGAACAATTGAACACGGTGAAACTCCTTCTCGAACAGTAATGTCCGAGTCCAAGGACGATACCTCTGCAGTGAAAAGTAACCACCATACAGAAACATCACGCTTATCAGAATATGATGATAAAGAAGCAAATGCTCAAAACAAATCAAACAATAAAGTAACTAACTCACAAGCAACCAAAACCGATCCTGGCTCACTCACAATGAGACTAATTTCGCACACAACACCGTCTGGTTTCCGGAAACCTGTGACGGGAGGCAGCCAGAAGTTCATGTCTAGTTATGCTGCAGGAGAAGGACAACAGTCTTACACATCTGAAGCCAAAGAAGTAACAGGATCGTCAACAGTCGGTATGCAGGTCGGCAGTACTCAACAGAGCGATCCTTCACGAGTGCCAATTGTAAGAGCTGTTGAGCTCAAGAAGTCCTTCATCCAACAGCAGAATCCTCGTAACGTTCGCAGCTCAACGACAGAGTTGAACGGTGAAGAGAGCAGGGGGCTGTGTAGTACCAACATTGTGGACCAAAGAAACGGAACTGATAATCATAACGGAAGGAGTGACGCAGAGACATTTGCAGGTGTTAATTTCTTGGCGAAAAGATTTTCAAATGCAGGTTTATCACAGAATGGGCCTCACAGTTTACGCTCATCACGGCCTCTGTCTTCCTATGGAAAGGTTGAGACTGCGGACACCAAGGGACGAGATAACACAACTAATTTACCTTATAATGGGAACCTCTCTTACAAGAGTGTGAGTTCAACCAATCTGAATGCATTGAATGTAAATACACGTCAAGATGCCCAGCTCAGAGACAGAGATGCGACAGTCAATCGGAGGTACACTTCCGTCGTCGGAATTAACAATGATTCAGAGAGACCATCATCGAGTTTTCAAGAACTAGCCTCAGAGTCAAGCAGAGTGCAGTCACGGGTATCTGGCCCCTCTGTGGTCAGAGTGAACGGTATGACTGCTCCCAAACAACTGATGCCAGTTGTAAAAGGTTTCCAGTTTGCCTCCCCAGCAGCCAATAAAGATACATCTCCTCCTCTTGCTGCTAAAAGCTTAAAAAACTCAAATACAACGAATGCTCATAACCCCAAGGTTCATCGATCAGAATCAACTTCGGCCATCAGAACCTGGAAGACAGTTGATGTACCTGACCACACATCTGACACGAGTTTTGGTAGCATCAAGACGTACATGCGACGAAGTTCGAATGACACGCGACCAGAGCCAGTGGTGATGAAAGTTAAAACGGATACAGAATCAGAACCTCCTCTACCCCCTCCCTTGGCGGTATCCCTCCAGAAATCTACGTCACGACCTCGTCCGAGGACTCGACCGGGTCCTGAGCTCAACCCTCGAGACCAACTAATGGATGCAATTAGAAATTTTGGTGGTCGAGAAAACCTAAAACAGGTTCGTGATAAAAGGGACAGCTCCCTCAATATTGTGCTCATCCATTGAACAGCTGTGTGTGTGTCTGTAACTTCAGAGCTTACCCTTATACAAATGATATGCTTCACATGTCAGAGTTCCAAGTTAAAATGTACTGAACTACTAATCTGATTCTGAGTAAAATGCTACAAATTAGCTGCAAGGGTGTTTATCATGTTTATTGCCTAGACTCGGCCATTATGAAATTTGTCTCATGCTTCATTTCTGTTGAAAGGTGGGCCCATTTTAATGAATGAAACTTCCATAAACACACAAACTTGAGTGTTTAGTGAGATTCTTACTGAATCATGAACAAAACTAAATTTTATATCATATTTCTATGCAAAGTGACCTTGAAGTACAATGCAGATAAATACATTTTCTTCAGCTTTTGTAAAGTAGCTTCAACAAACTTTAACAAACCCTTGTTTCCTTTTTTTTTTTAGAGTGGTTGCAGCTGAAAATTGAAGACACACAGAATAGCAAGAGATTAAATAATCAAATTACTAACAATAATACTTTGAAAGCCAGTTAATTTAGTTTGTTAGAGACGATCGTTTTCATAGAGATTCTACTAGTCCGCCATTTAGAGTAGGCGACATGTCACAACATTCTAACTGCAGTCCGTCAAATGAAGACGCTGGTACATCTGTCTGAATGACCTGTTTCAGGCAACCAAATTTGTATTGTCTGTTTGGTAGACATTGTTCATTGTTTTCATTTCCAGAAACATGGCAGGTGGGATATGGTAATATATCATAAATACTTATTAGTCAATTCAATATACAAGAGGCAGTCAGAAAGTTCCCGGAATTGTGGTATAGCTCTGTAATGATAGGACATATGGCAACGCTTACCTAATCACCTTCAAAGTATGATCCTTGCGCACACACACACTTGCTCCATTGATCCTGCCATTGCTGGAAGCACCGGCAGAAGGCTTCGTTTGGAATATTCCGGCCGTCGCGTTTGATTTGATGTCCTCCATGGTTGTGAAACACGTCCTCTTGAGACCCATTTTCAGAGTAGGGAACTGATCCTTGCGCACACACACACTTGCTCCATTGATCCTGCCATTGCTGGAAGCACCGGCAGAAGGCTTCGTTTGGAATATTCCGGCCGTCGCGTTTGATTTGATGTCCTCCATGGTTGTGAAACACGTCCTCTTGAGACCCATTTTCAGAGTAGGGAACAGCCAGAAGTCCCTCGGAGCGAGATCCGGAGAGTATGGTGGTTTGATGACGAATGCTTTTCTCGGTGAGAAATTGCTGCACAACCAGCGATGTGTCGAATGCGACGGCCAAACTCCGGAAGATTCCGAACGAAGCCTTCCGCCGGTGCTTCCAGCAATGGCAGGATCGATGGAGCAAGTGTATGTGCGCGAAAGTGTCCTACTTTGAAGGTGATTAGGTAAGCGTTGCCATGTCTTACCATTACAGAGCTATACCACAATTCCGGGAACTTTTTGACTGCCCTACGTATATCTGTTTTAAATCTGTCTATATATAATTTTCTCTAGAAAATTTCTTTTAATGCCTGTCTTGCTAACTCTTTAGTCAAATGTTCAGATTGGGTACCAATAATTTTTGTGAATTGCATGAGAAAAAGAAATTTAAATTTGTCTCAGCAGAAATAGACGGTCTGGCTGCATATCTGTGACAATGTCCAGCTCTGTTATAGTCAATTCATTACATTTGCTCGATTATTTTTTGTTGTGATACTGAATCTGACTGTGGGACAGACTGCGTTATTTATATACTTTTATGAAATTGAAATATGGTGTTCCAATGCTGTATCTTTACCATTTATAATTACTGCATAAACATTTAATTTTTATAACCACAGCAAACTGCAGGTTTTTGGGAGGGGGGGTTATAGGAATAATATGATACTGTTAAACTATAAAGGAAATATACAATGAATATAAATAATATTACAAAATATCCATAAATTTCCTTGTGTAACAATATGAATATATGAACTGTAGATAACATTTTCTGTTTTGTATTAGGGACTGTGTAATAGTACAGTGTGTCCACAAAGTCCCTTCAGGGTTTTGAAAAATTGTGGCGCGTAAACAAATTGAGCTAGCCACATGCGGTTTGCGGCAGATTACAGTGAAACTCAGGAAGTTTTTTACTGGCCTCAGTAGACCTCGATGTGGGCTCCCTTGGTAGCACGGATCGGCAGAGACACGGTCCAATGCCTTGGTCTCCACGTTCACCAGACATAACACCACTGGATTTTTCCTGTGGGGTTATGTCAAGAGCAATGTGTCCCGAACACCAGTCAATGGACTTGATGACCTGAAGACCCGTATCAGGAATGCGATCTCGGCTATTCCAGCGGACATGCTCCACAGAACATGGCAAGAGCTCGAATATCATCTGGATGTTCTCCGTGCTACCAAGGTCTACTGAGGTCAGTAAAAAAACTTCCAGAGTTTCACTGTAATCTGCCGCAAACCGCATGTGGCAAGCTCAATTTGTTTGTGCGCCACAATTTTTCAAAACGCCGAAGGGACCTTGTGGACACACTGTATTTCATGTGTGTATATACGTATTTGTGGGTGTAACATAACCTCAATAGCAAATACAAATCCAATATTACGGCTGTCACGCGTGTCGTAATAGCTCAACATATCATTCCATTGTACAGGAGTGTGAAGCCTCATTCAAGTACACTAATTTATTTGTGACCACAGAAGGAGCTGCCTTATAGATAAGGGACCAATAAAAACCCTAGGATCCGAGCGAGACCTCGTCTTTATACCGTATCATGCAAAGGTTTACTGCAATGTTCAGTCACTTTAAGAAATGAAGCTGTATGTTTATCACACTCTTGTATTTTGTTTCAATTGTAAACTTTGTATTAAAAGAGTTCTGTAAATGCACTGGCATTATTGATTCCATATCCCTTCTAACAACCATGTTCTAAATAATTATATCGCATCTTAATTAAACAGTGACATCACATGTTAAAAATGAAACATTCACCTATTTTCAGATCATGAGAGCAATGTATGCCCAAAGTTTGAATGTGAACTCACAGCTTAGCTGCTTTTGTTAAATTCTTATCGTAAATTACGTGGGACACCTTATTCGGCTGAATTATTGGGGTTTGATTCCTAGCAGGGCGAGACTCTTCTCTTTGCCACAATGTACATACTGGCTCTGGGTCCTGCCCCGCTGTACCAGTGGGAATCACGGCCCTTACCTCAGTAGTAAAATGCGCAGAGCTAGTACAAAGGTTAAAAATGCGTGCCATACCTTGTTCATTTTCCTTCCGTTGCTTGGTCTGTGGGTCCGACAGCTGCAGGAACATAATGAGATGACAAACAGATGTCGAAGACGCTGTAAAAGGCGAGAGAGTCCTGTAGCTTCTGATAATGACACTTGGAAATTTTGCAACAAATTCTACAGAGTGGGTGGGAAGTAAGTAGGCATTAAGTAATGGCTATGCATTGGAAATATAGAGGTTATAACCATTTCTCAATGCCTACTTACTTCCCACCCACCCTGTATAGTGTCATACAAACAAGACTCATTAATATGGCTAATAGTATCTCCTGGGAAATCCTTTATTTTGTTCCATTTTATAATTTTCTTTTGAAGTATTTTTGTTACACATCTCGATACAAAGACATGACTAAGGATACATTCATACTCACAAAATAAATACTTTTCTCAGTCTCAAGCGCACAAAGTTAATATTACAAGATGGAAACAACATTTAAGGTTTGCTTACAAGTAAACTACATAACAGATTTTATCTGAGTGAATCGACAATTCATTAGATGGCTTGCAAAGTACCACGCAGTGAACACATTTAGGGCATATAGTACAAGTAAAGCAAAGTGCATGATTAGTCGCAGAATTTGGCTTTGTGCTTTGAAAATCCACCCCAGACTAAAAGAAGACGACATCGAGCCCAAGTAACTTTGTGCAGGGTCTGAACTGCCCTGGATGTAATGATTAAGTCAGTTCCAGGAATTAAACCAAAGAAATTCAGTCCGATTTTAAGCATAATGACTGTTTCCCAAATGAGGGAAGGTTTGTAAAAATCATGGCCCCATTTCTTCCACCAATTCTGATTCACTTTACTACAGCGGCATCTGACTGCAGTCAAACATCTGTGCATTCTGTGAAATTTGACATTTTTGGACTGATACTAGGTCAAACAGCTAATGTTTCTGTACCTTCCTTTTTATCTGAAGGTGGAAGAAGATGAAGCTTCCGAAACGTACTTTTGTTCCTATTTTTAAGTCAGACAATGGACAAAGTTAAAAAAAAAAAAGCAACAACCTGATATGACCACCCACATTTTACAAGCAGTTTATGTTTCTTCCCTCTGATTAGCATGCATAATTGGGATTAGACCTGAAGTAAAGCAAAACAGAAAAGTATCTGACTACAGTTGCAAAAGGAAAAGTGTGTAGATAAATAAATGAGTAATATATTTATTTATTTCCGTCAATACACAAACTTAGTTGTTAAAATTGGTGTTATTAAAGCTAAACTTTAAAATTTGGCGCTTATCATCGCTATTACGATGTTACAATTTTAACGCTCAATATTTTATTTCACAACATGTTTCAATGCAACCGCATCATCTTCAGGGCATTTAAACTACAAAAATAAATAAATGAGTAAAAGATGGAATAGAGACAGAAAAAAGCAAATCTTACCTGATATCCCAGTACGTAAATCATCCACAAAGCAGGTGTACAAAAGCAGCAAACAAAGCATTCATGGAATCTAGGAATTATATTTTGTGGTGGGAGAGTCGTCACATGCCTTGGGATTATTACGTGGCATCTGAAAGCCATGAATTATTATGCACTAATTGAATGATATAACACGTCATAATTTTACACAATAACTCAAATTTCTCACAAAACAGAGTGGAATTTGCTGCTGTTCTGACTAATATCTTTAAAAAAAACTGTGGCATCTTTCAAACTGAGGAAATATTTTGTTATCTTGATGCCAAATTTTTAACGTTTGACATTTGTATATTTTTAAACATGTATTTTACTAAGTAACGAAGCCAGACAAATGTGAATTCAATGCCATTTGTTAACTTCCAATCCTGCCCTTGTCGGACACCGACATTTCACCACGAGAATATGTTAGTTTAAAACACGTAAAACAGATCTGTTAAATAGCAGTACCATATTTGGCCAATTTTAATGCATCTTTGAATATAATTCACATTCATCCCATTTATTTTCTCTGTCACAATGTTCAGTTATATTACCTCACTATTTTTACAAGACAGAAGAAAATGATGTCACTACATAACTACATTTTGGCAGCAGCTCGGGCGAAAAAAAAAATTAAAAATACAAAAATTTAACGCACAGTTTAATTCAGAAAGTATTTAGAGGAAGACCGTCATAAATTACCTTCAGCCAAATATGATACAATGTGAACAGTATTAGTACTATGGGCAGGAGAGGACAAGTTTAGGAACCCACATTTTATAAAATAGTCAAAATCAGACAAACAAATACCTCTCCAGCTGAGATGGCAACTCAGACAGTGATCAAACTATATATGACTGCTTCTGTACATCAAGTGAATTACTTGTCGGAGGTTTACACGTGACAGTCAACATAATAATTTGCACCATCCTAAGAAGTTTAAAATATTCTGCAGATCTTCGACTAAGCTTAAACTTAACTCACACGTGCCCGAAACTCACAGGGGCTTTGAGTAAGACGTTCTTCTGACATCATTTTATAGAGTTCTTCTATCGGAATTGTGCGTACCTCAAGATTAATATTCTGAAATTGCATTATATACATCGCAACATTACGGAAACAAAGCTATAAAATTTTGTCTCCTTGGAAACATAACTCGTGACTAGGGAAATGTCATGATCAAAATAGAGGCTCCTTTCCAGTTATTACTGAAAAGTTTTTTGTTTCCATGAAATCACTTCGTAACAAAAAACAACATTTGTACATGCTAGGATGGCATCAGTCATAGTTTATATTTTACGCATCACTTAAAGTTTGTTGCGTTTCAGAGTAAAACGCCCCTTCCTTCAGTATAATAAAAAAAGAGACTGCAGTTTGACTATTTACAGGAATGCTGAAGTCTTAAACACATTCTAACATGGAAACAGTGGAGTTGCTTGTGGTTTTAACAAACAGAAATTTCGTCCATTCAATCCTACTCTCTCTCTTGGAGGGGTGAGGGAGGGGGGATGTGGAAAGAGATGATAGTGGTCTATTTTAAGGTACTGTTATGGAATCCACCAGGAGAGACTGATGAAAACAAAGCAAAACTTTGGCAAGGGTAATTGGTAATAAGGTAGGGCCTCCCTAGCCAGATTGGTCGAGGGAGAGAGGTCGGACTAAGACAGGTACCCTGGTCCTCCAGGTTGGGGGTTGGTCGCAAGGCTAACAACCTTGCACCGTAAAAAGGAAGACATTTTGAAACCTCGATCATAGCCTCGGACAGACGGACCTAACAGAGGACGGAATGGAAGAGGAGAATTGAGGAGGCCATGGAGTGAATACGGACCGGAGAGCCATAGAAGAAGAAGAAGAACTGGTAATAAGATTGAATCCTGGACATATCTTAAATACAAATCTGTGGTGTTACGCTGTTATCATCCTACTTGGCTGTAGACATTATTACAGACAAAGATACTGCATTTTGTTATCTCACAAACCAGTATTTCCTTTCAGAAACTGTAGTAAGTACAATATAATTAATCTTTGGTATCAATAATTTTGTTGCATTTAAAAAAATGTGAAAGTCTCTGCATTGAAATTCATGCTTTCTCTTCAAGTATCAAATGACTTTCCACATTGGTCCCTCATTGGTGAAGTTAAGACGTGTACACACCAGTCTGTATTTTTATAACTTCCTTTCTCACAAACCCCAAACAACTTCACACGCCCCAAACATGATTATTTCATATCCCATAGATGCGAAAAAGAGGCCGCAAGAAGTCGAAGTTTCAGAGCTTCATAAAATTTGTCACTGTGTGGCAAATGTACACACTGCAAGTCTTAATGAGATAAATGAATTTAACACAAAATTTAAAACAAACTTCAGTGCGATAATGATGAAAATTGGAAAGATGCCTCCACAACTGTGATATAAAAAATAAAAGCCTGCACACAGGGTGCAAGGATAGCTTCTGATTTTAAAATGTTAATAGTAAATTTGTCTCTAAGAAGACGACTGCTCTGTCTAGTCTAACGGAAGTTCACCGATGTTTCAAAGCACTTGTTGCTTCCGTTAAGAGCTCTGAAACCACAGTTCAGTTGCAGTCCCTTAAGCGGCCCATCCACGTACGAGTCTGGCTCGCGAGTCCGGCTTGGCTCAGGTTCCATCGAGCCAAACTCGTTTGTGGGTGGGGTGTCACGAGCCGAGTCTGCTACGCACGTGAAATATATCCGAGCCCGGCTCACGAGTCAAGCTCGCCAAGCCAGACTCACAAGTCAGACTCGTACGTGGATGGGCCGTTTTAAATGCATGTACTGAGGGACACCAAAAAAGCTACCAAAAGCTACCATGATGAACAGTTCACCTTGCAGTGCATCTAGATGACATTATGGGCAGAAAGCAGAATTATTTGTGCCTTAGTGAAAAGTCTGGAGGACTTTTTGGCGTGGAACAGTGTCGGAATGTCAACCTCCAGAATGCAATCCGAAAATCCGGACTGTAGAATGCGTAGATGAATGGGTTAATGGCTGAATTTATCCAACCTAAAACATGGAAATAATGAATTAATGTCGAAGTTGGCCTTCTGGGTTGTGACACCACGTACGGTAGGAAGCAAATAGCAGTGTTTCGGATGATCACACTGCATCATGAAAATCACTTACCCAGCCACATGAGAAATGACATGAGCATCGGTTGGATATCAACAAATGGCGTAAGTAGATACATGATGAAGAAAGGAAGCCAGCACGCGACAAAGCCCCCCACTACGATGGAAAGGGTCTGCGCCGTCTTGCTCTCCCTCCTGAAGGAAGAGACGCGGCTCGTCGGCTGCAGAGGGAGAGACATCGTCTGCATGCGGATGTCTACCGATGCCACGTCCAGCGCGAGGGATTCTGGACGTGACGAACCGCGACTGTAGAAACTCGATCTTGATGACTGGGGCAAGATAGGCTGGTGGTGATTCATTCCATCCCTACAGGTGGGAGGGCAGTAACTGTAGCGAGGGGAGCGGAGATGTCGCTGATTGTGATGGTGGTGGTGGTGATAGTGATGAATGTGGTGATGTTGGTGGAGACCAGTGAACTGGATGCCATCTACATTGGCAATACTGGAAACACAACACAACACAGCCAGGATAAATGGGGCACTGTAACAGACCTTCAGGGGAAAAAAAATCTGATTTTCACAGAGGTCTGAATTTTCAGAATAATTGTCGCTTCACACATTAATTTTACGTGTACAATTCTTCCGTCCATCTTCCTCCATTTTACCATCTCTGGCCTGGTTGCTAAGTGAGGCCATAACCACTTCCTTCAATACCATTCCCAATTAATTATTCATTAATCATATCGTTTGACGTTAAACAGTCCAAGTTATTCAGTGTCCTTAAAAACACGACAAACAAAATAAACTACCGTAAAAGTTGCATCTTTAAAACCGTAGGAATGAAAAGATCTTCCATTTGTCTGGATCCAGCCCAAACCAAAATTAGTTACTTACCTCGTACACCTTCCTGCCAGGTGATTCCCCTCCTCGCATTCAGACGATGCCCTTTCCATGTCCGACTCCTCCTGATTACTCACAAGTCTACTTGACCTCTGTAACACGAACGCAATAAGAACAGAATTATATTTACGCCAATACCACCAATAACAAAACGTATTTGTCATACAGTATTAAACCCCATTATACGTCAAATATCATCAGGATAATTATGATTGGCTGCGCATGTAATTACATAGTTTGAATACACGAATACATAGGCCTGACTACATTGTAAGTGCAGTATGGACGTACGGAAGAATATAAAAGTAGGTGACGACGACGACGACGATGATAATAATAGGTACTTGTGGGTTATCGGGACACATCGCTTTAAAATTAGGTTAGGTTAGTTGTCATTTATTGAAATAAAATATAATAACTTTCAAGTATATGTCATTTATCCACACACATTAACCTAACCTAACCTAACCTAGCCTAACATAACATAACCTAACTTAACCTAACCTATTTTTAAAGCGATGTGTCCCAATAACCCACAAGTACCTAATAATAATACATCAAATACAAAAAACTGGAATATTTAGGAAGTATAAAATGCGACTGTGTCCCAAGACAATTTTAAAAGTATCTTCAAAATACAACCTCAAAAATTATATTTCAAGCTTGAGCTAAAATCCCTGAGAGAAAGCCATGAATCTGGCAGAGGAGGAGGGAAATTTAACTAGAATTTCTCTGCACATTTACCTGCTGCATATGATCTTTTTTTTTTCTGTAAGAAATTTTTCGGAAATTCACAAAAAGCCACTCGCCTTCGACATGTACATAAAAGCATTGCTGTACCGTGAACCGGTCGCCGACCTTATCTAAATCATTGCAAAATAATTATTATGTACAAATGACAATAAGAAGTCGCCACTTTAACAGCGGAGATAAATTACCTGATCATTGCTGTCGAGAGCAGTCAGCTGGTTGTGTCGTTGGGCCACCACGCATGAGATTCGTGCGTACATATACAGCATCACGGCCAGCGGGATGAAGAATGAGCCCATCGCGGAAAACACAACATAACCCCTGTTGCTGTTGTAGCGACAGTTCTTATTGTTGTGATGATCTGGGTCGTACCTGCGGCATTTCAACGCGGATGTTACAGCGGCATGACCGATCAGACCAACAGTTCATAAAACCGGAAGTTTTATGAAAAATGCATCGTTGTTTCATACAAAATCTGTAATGCGTTTTCATAGTGGCTGCTACGTTGTCGTTTTGCTTTAACGCTTAAGAAAGCAAATTATTTTACCAAAATAAATATAATAAAATAAAAATAAAACTCAGCTATCTTCTTTTGTAAGTGAATTCTTTCAATATGATATGAAGATTTTGACAAAATAAATATCCGACATATTTCAGAACACCAACAAAATATTATAAAACAGTCACAAAAGTAAAATATTTACTCTTCTATAATCAGGAAGTAAAAAATAAATCATAAAATTCAGTAGAAAGCGCAGAGTAGCAGTAAAAATTACCGACTGCCACCGCACGTTTCTTGTCACATTACGTTCCTCGGTGCCACGGCCCAAGAGCCTGAATCGCAGAACGGTTAAGGACCGTTATCACAAAACTACTCACCAGCCAAAGATAGGAGGACAGGTGATCGCAAGGGCTGCGAGCCAGACGGCAAGTATCATGAGGAGAGCGAGCCTCTTTGAGCGCCTCCTGCGCGAGTAGTTGAGAGGCTGCGTGACTGCCAGGTAGCGGTCGACACTGATAGCGCACAGACTCAAGATAGAGGCTGTGCACAGCAGGACGTCCAGTGAGATCCAGATATCACACAACACCCAGCCCAGCTCCCATGTCCCTGCGCACATTTAACCGGCGTTATAACCTGCCTGCGGATGCTGGGATAAAAATATAAGCCCTGAACACATTAATTTTGGGGTTTATACTATTTTTAGCACACCCTGTATAATTTAATAAAAAAATTATTAATTGAGTACTGGGTGTATGTTGTAAAAGTTGTCATATAGATTTCAATCTGACTTGTAAAAATTCACTTTATCACAGCTCAAAAGTGGACCACTGCAAAACAGACAGAAAATAAATGTTTTTATTGTAAGAAATATGAAAAATCTATAAACATACTCTGTGGACAAAACAGAGTTATTGGCTCTTAAAGCAAGTGGTACATATAGTTACCACCGAGCTTTAAAGTGTTAAATCACAAAGATAATTCAAAATGGGAAAACACAAACACACACGTGACTTCACTTTACCCATAATTTGCAGAGCAACTTTAAGAGGCATTACAAATATTCCAACCAGCCAATCCGCAACAGCCAGCGACATGACAAAACAATTTGTCACAGTTCGAAGTCTTCGGGTCGTCATTACAGCTACTATGATTAGAGTGTTACCAACCTGCAAAATAGAAACAATAATGATAGGCCACACATTCACAAGAATTTGATTTTCTCATGGTGGAGAGTAAAAATGTGGCCATCTCCCGGGACTACGCGGCAATACAACGCAGAAGACAGCCATCTTCCATTCACGAAACTTGTAACATTATTAACTTATTTGTCCTCTTGACTAACAAATATTTGCCACATAACCAAAACAAACGTACAGAGTGTCACTACTTTCTTAACATGAAAGAACTCGTATCTGGAATAATGTTAATGGAAACACGAAGCAGAAGTGCAAAGTTTGGTCTGCGGTATCCCCTCCCTCGACGTAACATTCTACCGGCCAGACTTTGCACTGTCATGAAAAGTGGCTCCTTACTGTGACAAAAAACGGAAAAATTACATAGTTCTGGGAAACAGAAGAGTTAAGAGAGTGCGAAATTGAGGAAATTACATAACGAGAAATTTCCCTAGCGTTGCTAATGTCGATATATTAATGAGATTACGATGGGCTAGACATGTAGTTCGAACAGGCGCTAAAATGAACGCATACAGAACGAACAAAGGAAAAAAAAAAACATCTTGAAATGTTGCTAGCTGAACATCGACACGCGGAATGAAGAGTTGTATTATTATTGGCAATAATGCACAAACAATTAAGAGTGAAAGTCAACGTTTTGTGCTCTATGGATTACACTCGTTATCAGCTTTCAATTTATGTTGAACTATATTTTACAAATACATTTCTATTCAATGTAAAAACATAAATAGAGGCCTAAATACTGGAAACTGCTCTGTAACATTAATAAACTTCTCCCGAAATAAGATTCTGTTATCATAACTGCTTCATTTCATTGTCGATATTTTCAAATTGTCGTCAATTGCACGGAGTTTTGTTATAACTGCTCTTAACACTTATACAATATGACATCTGTGATACAGAACGGCTGTTGAATTGTATTCTTTCAATCCATTTTAAGAAAAAAAAATCCAGAATGTGCAAAAGATCCAATTACACAGATCTGAGCCATCTGAAAGCCAATATATTACACATATATTTGCTATTACAGTGCATTATGGGACTATACTGCAATAATCCACATGACGCATGTAAACTTCCGGTGGCTTCAGCCATACGCAATAATTACTGACATTCATCACTGTGACCACATTAATTACATCTAATCCCAGCCTTGAAATGTAACATAAATTCAAAATTGGGTCACGAGCGACAACCGTCGGGGTATGCCGTTATTGGAGGTTTCTCAACCTGTATACCGAGAATCCACATAGGTCCGCAAATTACTTTTAAACGTATAAAAATAATTTAAACGTCTTAGTTTCAATGTCATGAGACTGGGAAGAAATTTACATTATTTTATCATCCATATTTTCCATACGAAAGCTCATATGGACTTTGGAACTGTTTTCATGAATAGAATTATCATTAAATTTGTGTTCTATCTATGAGAGAAAATTTTTATGTTTTTGCGTAAATGTCAGTAACTTCCTTGTTATATTTAATGCTTCAATGACATTGTTCTTCACTTATTTAACGCCAAAAGATTATCATGTACCAATTTTAAATAATTTATAAAACTTTTTTTTATATATGGTCAGAGCGTGTTTTCTGCCAAATTTCAGACACGCGGGCAGGCAGACGGATGGTACAACTACTTACCACTGTGACCAATATGAGGATGCAGAGGAGAACGGCCAAGCACACGTTCTGCCACGTCAGCTCCCTCTCCGATGTCGGTCCTGTGTCAGAACCGTTCGTTACATCGGCCGCCATCCAGCATCTGTTGCAGCAAAACATGGCGGTCAGTTTGCAGACAGATAAAAACGTAAGCTCACGTTTAGCTAAGCTACAAGTTCTAAGAAGCAGTAATCTTATTTCGGTCGTAATTTTCGAAGTTACACTCCGAATTTAAGATTTATCCATGAAATTTTCTATTACTCATCTCCTTATTTTAAAAACATACAATGCAATCCAAGCTACACTCTTTAAACCACTGTTGATCATGAACACAAATTTTAAATGTTGCTACAAGGATTAAATTATCTGGAAATCCTTTGTTGACAAAGCACCACAGTTTTAAACACGGCGCGTCCATCTTGTTTTCACTGTACAAAACATTCAATACACAGAATATACACGATTCTTGTGAAGATTTTTTAACCTGGCCATAAAACAAAACATTATCTTAATTACAAAAAAATAACTATCGTTTTAAACTTCTTTTCCAAGTAGATGTAATGTTATGCTGAAACATTAGCCTTTACGAGGCCTGCAGATAAAAAAACCCAGACGAAAGTTACAGCTGATACTTAATTGACAAACAGATAAAAGTTGTTTCTCAACAATTTGGTTTATTGTAAAGACGCTGTTTTTGCTATCTTCAAAACAGTTCTCATTTAAAGTCGTCGTTAATTTAATAACAAAATTAAGACATTATACAGCAGTAATTTTGATATTCTATTGTTAAATTTCAAAGGGTTTGAACAGCGGAAAATTCCAACTTTCCACAATAATGAGATTTTAACTTAAAACACTCACATCTGAGAAATTATTTTTCCATTAATTTTCGTTGTGATAGTTTGCCCTCGTGATAAGAAAATGTACAGATATTTATATCAGTATTCCTCAGCAGGAGACAATATTTGTACTTCTCGCATTGGCCAATTCCCAAACTATGTTGACCCGCGACGTCATTCTTTATGAAAATTATAGCCTTACAAATTTCTGTAAGAAACTCGACTATCGGTAGCCATAAAAATCTGTCCAGTCGATCCATATTGACGTACGGGACGACATTTAGATATCAAGTAACGAACAAATTAATATTTATAGTCCTGACGATACAGCGCTAAATATCGTTGTATGAGAAGATTACCTGCACAAAATTATTAAATTTCGAAATGGCAGAATTCAGCAGAATTGCAGGTTCTCGGTGTTGTCATGTTAGTATTACTGACGGGCGAGCTTAATAAAGTCGGTGTGACTGAAGTCCCGTAGCGTGACCTTCATAATGAGTTTTATCATCGTACTTAACACGTAACGCGAGGTTATGGCGAACAGAAAGTAATCATATTAACATTTTCCCTAGCCACTTCATTTACGTACAATATTGTACGAATATAACTCAGAACCGAAAGACAGATCAGCGTTTCTAAAGACTTACATATTTCACATTAAATGACGTCTGTGCTGAACATACATCCAGACCTTTACAATTAAAATTTATTTAAGTAATTTAACGGTGAACTAACTCCTGATTAGACACGTCATAGCTTAAATTTCTCACGAGACTTGAAAGAAATAGAGACATTTTCATAAAATGAACTTAACTGTAAGAAATAAAAATAAAAACCTCTTCTGAGATGCATCCAACTCTACCTTCATTAGCTTTAATTTTAAATTATATTCTTTGATTCGACTGGAATCTACGAGCACAGACTACCGACAATCTTGCCTTCTGCTGAACTCAGGAACATCATCCGGGCAAAGGCTTCAACCTAAAAGCCATATCCGAAAAGAGTTCTTCAATTTGGTATTCAATTTCACCAGTAAAATAAAGACAGCCAAAAGAAAAACTCACGACCCGAAATGGAAACGATCAGGCGATGCATCCCAATAACAGACGCAGTTGGAAAGTTGCCCTCGGCATTATGGATCAGCGTCGCGACGGCGGAAGATTCTAATGTCTAACTACGTCTTTCAGTAATCTTCTTTTTCCAAAAATTTAACGTATTAGGTTTTTCCCGCATGCTACATATCCATCCCATCACAGTTTCCTTTAACTTTCCTAAGAGTACTAAGTTATTTTCATCATTAATGTAAAATGGCAGTTGGAATTCAATAAAAATCATGTATCTTGTATCTTGCCCTCCTCCTATTTTCCTGTCTGGTTCCATGTTTCAGTATAAATTTACGAATGCAATACAAACACGCAATTATAATATAGTATCAGAAAAAAATATTATTATTATTATTATTATTATTATTACTCATGCTACAAAGGATTTTGTATTTGTAAAAATTTCGTATCAGAAGATATACAAAAACAAGTGCAAGTCGACTATGATTTTGGTTCTTACGGTTCAAACATAATCACCATCTTACACAAAGCTCGAAAATGCATCACAAAATTTTTCCCCCAGAAAACGGTCCATCGTGCAAAACATTTGGTATATAACATAAAAATACAGGTCTCATTAACTTCGCAGAGTTTACTTCGACTTTTTTTTCGACATGTCTCGAATTTAATACAGAGTCGAAAATCGAAGTAATCGAAAAAGATGCCTGCAACAATGCGTACAACAGATTCAAAATAATATTCAAAGCTCAACGTAAACTGATTCATTTTAACTTGTCCTTTAGTTTTTTTCGCTCAAAGTTACTGCCTGTTATTTCTACGCAAAGCTGACTTAATAAGTCCGAGTCTAAAAATCTAATAACTACATTACGTAATAAGAATTGAATTACAGGTTAAGGAACATGGTTTAGTTGCGGTAACCACAGTAAAATCCAGAGTCAGACAGATTAGAGACGCAAGATATAATTTGCTTGTGGTAAAAATAATAACATCACATTAAATCTGCGATCGAATTATCCTGGTATATTATAACTGTTATTAGATTTTCCTGTTCTCTTAAAACTAAACGTTTATATGAATTAGGAGAAACAAATGTTATTTATGAACGGCTTTCATACTCTGATAGAAGTACCAATTCTTCAAAGAAAGTTTACAATGTTTACACGTTGATACAACAGAATGTATTCAAGGCGAATTTCCATTAAATTTCAACCAGCTTTTTTATACCAACCATTAGATATCATTATTATAAGATATGATAAGAAAAATTAAAACTAAAAATCATTAAAAATCAGTAATTCAGTTAAAAAGTTTATAACATAACACCTGATGATGGCTATATATAGCCGAAACATGTCGTAAATGTTCCACATGTAAATCGAGTACTCGATACGGAACGTAAAATGATATTTTAATCTTTTAATTATCTTATATTGTGATTGACGGCTAATTTTAATATATTTTTAATACTATCATTATTATAGTTATACATTTTGAACACATAACAATCGTCAATAGAACACCAACACCAGAACACAAAACGTAATTCTATAAACACTACATCAATTGTTAACACAAATCAACGCTCGAAACCCACAGAAGACGAAAGATATTCTGTTGCTAATTAAACCAGATTCTTTAACTCTCCAGAAACTCGAAACTTAAAACAATGGCATTAATCACATTGTCACAATCTCACCAGCATTATTAAGTAACATTCTGACGCCAGAATAAAACTAAAAAGTGAAGAGGCTTCCAGGCGATAAATAATCCCAAGACGTCTACACCATATTTTCTCGATTGTTAAACTTTAATTTATAAGTAAACTGCATCGCTGCTAGCCCAGTCCGGGTTTCGTTTGTCCTCTACCTACAAGCGACGAACAGTTTCTGTCAGATAACTCAGTGGGTGCGAGGTGGTCTCAACGCAAGCTTCCTCCAATGATAACCTAATCTCTAGGTAACGTGTGTGGTTTTCCATTTATGTTTTAGCCTTTCTACGCGTCATTTCAAGTTTTGCTACCTTTCTGTTCAACAATGGTACAAACACAATGCTAACACATAACAACAAAGACATTATTATTCTTAGAGAATCTAGGAAGTCAAACATTTACTTCCATGAATCCATGACAACGAACGGTCATGAATAATGCCGTGCTTCGAAATCCAGTAACAAAAATAGTCTCGTTTCTCCTCGTTTGTCAACGGAGAATTCGGTCGGTCTAGAGCGATGCGCGCGCTCATGTGTAGAAGATTTGTGACTGCTCAAGACACTCGACATCAACTCGGACGGATCCTAGGCCCGGGTTCTTATGGGCTCAATCCATCACCAGCAACACAGACGCCTGTTTGCTCGGTGAGAGGTCATGCCCTCTTCATTCTTAAGCGCAAACAAAGATTTCTCCTTTCGCCACAGCGGCTCTGGGACTCTCTCTCTTCGGGGTTAAAGCAGCCGGAACGTGGACCTCACCACCCACCTCCTCCAGTGCCAGAGTTAAGAATGTGTGGAGCTATGCCTCCACTCCATCGCACATTTTAATGGCGTGGTGCACTGGGAAAGATTTATTTTACCCACAACAGAGACAAATGGTCCACACTTGCGCTGTACAAATTACATTTCAACGTTTCGGATAAACATATTGCCTCCATCTTCAGGGTCTCTATGTAACTACATGCAGAAGAATCCTTGTTGAGAATCAAACAATAATATTCCTCGTCTCTTATGGAACCAGATGTTCAAAATCGTGTTAACAAAAGACCCCCCCCCACCTGTCCTCATCCTTAGCTTACCTACTGATCACGGAGGGACAATTTCTCGTGGTACTGAACAGTGTCTACTCTGCGGTTTGTTATGTTTCTAGCTGCTACTCCGCAAAGTTTGCTATTTTAGCAAACACTACGATGATATCTCTGTGTCAGTCCTTTGATGCGAGCATAAACAAGTTACTGTCCCGTTATCAGACAAATAAACACTCTGCAGATATAAAGGGGGGGGGCTTTATTTTTATTCCTTTGTTCCGTTCTTACTTTCTGCTTCCTGGACCCAGAAAGAAGTTTTCGGAGAGAAAAGAAACAAAACAGAATACTCAGAAACTCGGCCGAGTAGCTAAGCACTCACATAAATAAGGGAGGAGAAGAAGAAGAAGGAGGAGAAGAAGGAGAAGGAGGAGGAGGAGGAGGAGAAGAAGGAGGAGGAG